GTTACTAGGATCATTTTCAGTTCTGTCATGTTAATATGTTAGTTCAAAAAAAATCTTTGATTGCCCTAGCTGGTTTTGCTCAGTGGTTAGAGCATCGGCCCACGGTCCAGAGAGACCCCAGTTTGGTTCCCACTAAGGGCATGTACGTCAGTTGCAGTTTGTCCCCAGCCTGGCTGGAATCGTGTGGGGGGCAACCAGTTGATGTGTCTCTCTCACATTAATGTTTCTCTCTCTCTCTTCCTCCCTCTCTTTCTCCTGCTCTATCTGAAGATAAATGCAAAAATGTCCTCGGGTGAGGATAAAAAGAAAAAATCTCTGATTGAAGTACAGATTATTCTTGCAATAGAGACTTTGTTAATTGTCTTTTTTTTTCCTCTTCAGGATTATGAAGACAAGTAAAAAATTTGCTCATTTAAAACTTTAATTCAGTATAAAATAAATATCTCTCTTAAGTCACTGTTACTTTGCGCCTCTGCTATTATAGAAAATTCACTAAAAAATATGCAAATTTTATAGGTAAAATTATAAAGCTTTATCAAAAGACATTAAGTTAGACCTAAATTGTATCTTACTATCCTTTTCCTTCTGTGTTTCATTTTTGTCACTCAATATGTTTTTTACATTTTTCCACTGATATGTGTTGGTCAGGGGTATGCCCTGGAGGATATCACACAGGGCCACAAAGGGTATTCCCTGCAGCATTGCTCATGTAGAATTAAATTGGGCACAATTTGAATGCCCATAAATAGATAGAAGATTTCATATTGTATAAAAGTCAGTTATCGCCAAATTATTCTATAAGTGTAATAAAATTCCAGTCACAATTCAAGAGGGTTTTTAGTGAAATTTGACATGCTAGGTCTAAAATGAACAGGGAAAAGCAAAGGGCCAAGAATAGCCAAGACAATTTTTAAAAAGAAAAGAACAAGTTAAGGGAGACGTGTCCTTCTAAATATGAAGGCTTATTATAAAGCTATAGTAACTGAGACAGTAGTGAATAGTAACTGAGATAGTGACAGTTACAGTAACAACACCAGAAAGGCAGAGAAATCAGAACTAGATTCACACATAAGAAAACCTCATGGCGGCAGAGGAGGCATTGCAGAACAGTCATTAAAGGAAGGTCTGTTGATCATTGTTGCTGGGATAACTTGTCATACATATAAATGGGAAGTCTTCATATTGTAACATGTCAATTCTACCCAAATTATTCTATAAATTTGATACAAGTTTAATTAAGATTCCAACAGGATTATCCAGGTGAGTTTTTCTGAAAGTATGCACACTTGCATAAACACACACTTTTTTCCTATAAAGGAAAAGGTTGATAAACTTATCTCTATTAAAATTTAGAATGTCTTCACAATGAAAGGTAATATAAATAAAATCAGTAGACCAGCCAAAAATTGAAGGAATACTTTGGCAATATATATAAACAACAAATGACTGCTATATAAAGTAAATAAGGAAATTCTATAATCAAATGTAAAAGATAAATGATAAATGGAAAACTGTACAAAACACGAACAATTTGCAAGAGAAAATAAAATAAAATGCACCAATAAATATATTAAAAGATAGCCTCACTATTAATCAGGGAAATGATCATTAAAACAACAAAATATTGGGCTCTGGTTGGGTAGCTCAGTTGGTTAAAGCATTGTCCTGATATATCAAGGTTGTAGGTTCAATCCCCAGTCAGGACACATATAAGAATCAACCAATGAATGCATAAATAAGTGGAACAACCAAATGATGTTTCTCTCTCTCTCAAATCAATAATTTTTTTAAATTTAAAATAAATAAATAAATGATAAAACAACAGAGTATTATTTCACCTATCACATTGGTGAAATTGAAACCAAATCAAATCTTTACCACTTGGTAACTAAAATATCACACTCTCTCCTATAAAAACTACTATAGTAAAGAAGTCCTAATAGCAAAGGTAAATTAATAGGTCTCCATTATTTTATTATTAAGAGGAATGATAAAACTTTTAAACCAACTTTCCAATTTAAAAAGTTAGGATAAAGGTCAAACAAACAGGAAAAAGAGAAGGAAGAAAATAATTAAAATAACGAACAATTTAGTAACTACAAAACAAACCCAGAATTCATAAACTCAAAGGTGGTTGCAAAGAGAAGAGAAACAGATAATCAAATAATCAAATTAAATATAAAATATAAAAAATCTAATATAAAAAAAAAACAGAAAATTAAATTAAGAATGAAAGATGGAATATATCTGAATATTCTCGAATCCCAATGAAGTGAATTGTTCTCTTGGAAAATTGAAATTGCCAAAACAGACTCAAGTATTACAAACATGAATAAACCAATGAAATGTTACTAAAAACTACCTCCAAAAATAGTTTTGGGCCAACAAATATTACTGCAAAGTTCAGTCAAACTGTCAAGGACTAAGTGTTTTCTATGATGCATAAATTCTTCTAGGGCCTAAGAAAAGCTGGGATGCTATCCAATCCATTTGAGGTAGCTAGCAATAACCCTGGAATAAAACAAACATAGCAGAGTTTATAAAAATAAAAGTAAACCTCAGACTACTGAATATGCAATATTAATCAAAGTGTTTGGTTTGTTGGTTTGCCAGCCATCAAGACCTTGCGATGAAAAGTCAAAATTAGGAAGGAGAGTATAACAAATGTCTACATACTTGCAAGCACAAAACTTAGGTGAGCAAAATATCCAGAAAGGTTTAACTAAATGGTGCTAAAAGAGGTTGAAACATATTTGCATCATTTCTGGGCCCACTGAGTAGACTCCTTTTCCAAACTGATGATGTTTGAAAAACAGCACATATAAATGAAGTCAGTAATAAATTAGAGATGAACCACATAGGTTCTAAATGTCATTAATCATTCTCTGTGGCTATCACCCGGGATGATACCCACCCAGAGGGTTTGTAGTAAAACAGTCTACAGATACCTATAACATATATGGATATAAAAGTAATAATCCTAAATAGATTTTGATTAAAGTTGGTGGATCACATATAATACACAAATAAATTTGTAATGAAATGTTACAGCAGTGATGAAATTGTACATAGAACTTAAAGTCTGCTGGGAGTGGGGCATAAATGAGAAAGACTGACAGAGGAAGTGATGTTTGCACAGAATCTGTTTCTACTCACCTAGCTTCAATTTCACCTCATGGTTCTGCTGTTTCTAACCTTTATATTCTAGTTTTGTTTGTTTGGCTATTTGTTTGTTATTTGGTTGGCTGTTTAAAAAATATTATAATTTGCTTACTGTTTTCCAATGTCAATAAATTTCTGTCGTTTCTTTACTTATTTTTGTCACCATCATACTTACATAGAAAAGAAAAATGTATCTTATTGGGAGTGATTTCCATAAATTTAATAGAGCTATTGTTAATGACTTATAGGTTGTTAGACGGCCAATCCCTACTGAAAGTATCTTACAAAGAGTTTGAAGCAAAGATTTCTGGCCAAGCTATGAAAAATCTCTCAGAGTAGTTAATATATTTTTTGAATAGTACTGAAAACCGTGATAAACTTAGCAAAGAATTTTGACCAAGTATCACAAGAAATTTGTACTTGTAGACTTCTAATAAATGTATACTGTTTTTAGGCAGCTAACCGAAAGCATTAGGCTTATCAATATCAGACCCTAATGATTACTTTTTTGTCCTTTTGTAGACAGGGAAGAAAATTTCACCAAATATGGTCTGCGTTCATTATTAGTATCTGATTTTGTTAAGCAAAAAAAATTAGGACATGATGAGGAGCAAGGACACAGCTACCATAATGTTAAAAACACAGAACTAAAAACAGACACAGCGATTCTAGTCCCAGCGCAGCCACTAACAAAGTACACATTTTGGTCAAATCACCTCACCTCTCTGGACTTAAATTTACTCCCAATCATACAATTTTCCTTATCAAATTATCTATAACATCACTTCGGAAGACAGAGACCTGACCCCAAGAGCATCAATTCAAGAAAGGTACAATTGCCCTGGCCGGTTTGGCTCAGCGGTTGGAGCGTCGGCCTGCGGTACAGAGAGACCCGGTTCGGTTCCGCTAAGGGCACGTACCTCGGTTGCAGTTTGTCCCCGGCCCTGGTTGGTTGTGCGGGTGGCGGCCACTCGATGTGAAGGGACACATCGATGTTTCTCTCTCTCTCGTCCTCTCTCTCCCTCCCGCTCTGTCTGAACAGAAAATGGAAAAATGTCCTCGGAAAAATGTCCTCGGGTGAGGATAAAAAAAAAAAAAAAGAAAGGTACAATTTTGTTAGCTGACTCTGCAATAGGGCAGAGAGTTGAATCAGTCAGGATGCTGCAACTGAAGGCTCTCCGATGTCCTACTGCACACCTGTCCCACTAGCTCCCTCACTACCAAGACTGCCACGCCAGTTTAACAATACCCACACAAGTGACAAAAACATTGTAGCCCAACTTCACAAGGCTTGACATAGAAAGTTTATTGGCAACATTCAATTTTACAACCTCAATTTGACAAAAGACTGCAGGTCTGTGTGCATTCAAGTCACATTCCTGAGTAGCATTAATCACATTTACAATAGTTGCTGCCTCTATCACCACTTACCTTTTTTTAATGGACGTTTATATTCATTCATCTGTACATGCTGCAGGCCCTATGCTAAATTCTGGGGAGTACATGTTAAATAAAAATTGACATGATCTGTGCCTTCACGTGGGTGCTGTGAGTCCTTACATGGGAAGGAGAGCAGGGTTGAAAGGGACAGAGGATACACTCCCGAGGTCAAGGGGCAGTTCGGGGTGAAGGGTGGTCTTCCAGTGCCCAATTTCAGAGGTGGCAGGGTCTCATCGACCCCGAAGGGGCGGGGCCGGTGACAGGGCGGGGAAGAGCTGTAGGAGGGCTTAGGGAATGCTGAGGGCGGGGCCTGAGTTGGGCTCGCGGAGGCGGGGCCGAGGGGCTGTGGGCGGGGCGTAAGAGCCGCGGGCGGGCGGTTCCGTGATTCCCTCCGCCCGGGCCTGGGCCTGCACCTGACGCCGCTCGGCCTCCGCGCTGGGTGGCGGCGTCTCGGGCCCGCTCCGTGGCGGCGGTGGCCTGACAGCAAGCCCAAGTGGGATGCGGCTGACGCGGAAACGGCTGTGCTCGTTTCTCATCGCCCTGTACTGCCTCTTCTCGCTTTACGCCGCGTACCACGTGTTTTTCGGGCGCCGCCGCCGGGCGCGGGCCGCATCTTTGCGGGGCCTCAGGAAGGGGGCGGCCCCGGCGCGGGAGGGGCGCGGCCGAGGTAGGAACCGGAGCTGTGGCCTCTGACCCCGGCCGCGCGCCCCGACGCGGGGATGCCGGGCGGTGGGGGCCGGGCGGAGCCCAGCCACGAGACCGGGATCCAGCTCTCGGCCGGGGATGGCCCGAGGCCCCAGGGAGCGCTCTTCCTCCTCCGCGTTCCTTACCCCGTCCCGGGCGCGGACCGGGTCCTGCCCGAGCCCCGCACGCGGTCCCCACTTCCCACCCCCAAAGCCGACAGACGGTCAGTCCTTTAAAACTTGTCTTAAATTTCCAAGACGTTGTCACAAAATGCCACAGGTTCGCGGGAATGCCGCTGCGTTTAAGACATCTATTTCCATATTGGAACAAAGAGCCTTCTCTCATCCTGCGGGATCGAAGGCCGGGCTCTCTGACCCAAGTCCTGGTGCCGGCCTGCATTTTAACCTATGTCAGGATCAGACAGACACTCATCTCTCCCTTTTTTCAGAATTTATACAATAGCATCTAAAACTGTTGGACACTTTATTCTGAAGTCAAGTTTTTATGTAGAGGCTACGTATATACAATCTCTAAAGAACTGCAAAAATTAAACTTGTAGCTTCATACCTATTATCCAGTTATTTGAGAAGGTTTTTGTTTGGGAGTGATAATTTTGTGCTTTGTGTTAAATTTTATCTTTAAGATCTTTCATAGTAAAGGATTAATAAAAATTAGATTCTGATTTTTGTATTTTTCAAACAATTTTTCTTGATTGATTTGAGAGAGAGACAGAGAACCTGGATTGGCCACCTCCTGCATGTCCCCACTGGGGATTGGCCCACAACCTGGGCATGTGTCCTGACCGGGAATCCAACCGGTGACCTCTTGGTGCGTGGGTCAATGCTCAACCACTGAGCCACACCAGCCAGATTTTCATTTTTCAATGTGTATGTCTAACCAGTTCAAATTTAGTTTGCCTCTTTGAAAAATTGAAGTTAGGATGAAATTAAAACTCTCTAACATCTCATTTAAATGGCTTGAATCTATCTACAACTGCAGCTCTACCTTACTAATAAATACTCTTTTTAAAACACAGAACAATCTACTTTGGGAAGTGAAGAATGGAATCCTTGGGAAGGAGATGAGAAAAATGAGCAACAACACAGATTTAAAACTAGCCTTCAAATATTAAATAAATCCACGAAAGGGAAAAGAGACTTCCAAGTACAAATATGGGGCAAAGCTGCCATTGGTAAGTTAATGTGTAGAGCTAAGACATGTAGAAAGCATCACAAAATGTACTTTATTAATATTAAATTCAATTCATTTGAATTGAAACTAGGATACATTTATAGTTTATTTCATCATTTGCTAAGGTATCATGATGCATTTTTTCAATATTTTATTTCTCCTTTCTGTTAGGCAATATGAGTGTAAATACACATTCTGTTGTTGGTCTTTAGCTAACTACAGGTTGATTTGTAGATACAAAGAATGGGCTGTGTAAGCATTATTATAGTTAAATGCCTATGTCAGCTGAATTTTCATCAATCTACATTTATTGGTATTTGATATACAAGTACAGTATCAGTTGTGGCTACTGCCCTTGGTAGCCAAACAAGTTTGGGAAACATTGAACTCAACAAAGTTAAACCAGGTTCTTCATTGCTTTCTCAGAGCCTTTCATAGGCCAACATTCATTGTAGTATGTAGTTGCTAAACTGGATTGCCCACAAAAGCATTTTCCTCTGAGTATCACGAGAGCCTAGCATTCCAAGTTACATATTATGCTCAGTTAAAGAATGGGACCCTTGCCCTGGCCGGTTTGGCTCAGCGGTTAGAGCATCGGCCTGCGGTCCAGAGAGACCCAGGTTCGGTTCCCGCTAAGGGCGCGTACCTCGGTTGCAGTTAGTCCCCGGCCCTGGTTGGTTGTGCGGGTGGCAGCCACTCGATGTGTCCCTTTCACATCAATGTTTCTCTCTCTCTCTCTTCCTCTCTCTCCCTCCCACTCTATCTGTACAAAAAATGGAAAAATGTCCTCGGGTGAGGATTAAAAAAAAAAAAAAAGAATGGGACCCTCAATTCTTAAAAGATTTAGAGAGAATTTAGTGAATTAGAAGGGGCTTTATTTGGCCTTTAAACATGAGTTGGATTTATATATGTAGTAAGGGATATAGATAGAAAGTACCAGATGAGAGGAGAGTAAACAGAGGACAAAGCCTGGCCCATGTCATTTTATAAATCCATTTACACTTGCATGAATATCTACATCCTTGAAGATTACTACTGACCTCTAAATTTTAGGAACCCAGAACGAGGCCTCCAGTCATCAAGTTCTGACAATTTTTTTCTTTATAAAATTTTTAATATTAATTTCTTCTTTTAAATGACCACTTCTCCATTCAGTTTTCAATTAAATCTACATCTTAACAAGTTTTCATATTTCCAGACTTTTCTCTTTTTAATCCAATAAGCACAAAGTGGCCAGATGAGTTTTATCAAACTCTCCTTTCATGAACCTATTCCCCAGACACAGTCATAGCATGCCAGTTATAGAGCTTCCCATTAAAAAAAGGGAGAAAACAGAAGTAAAATTGAATCACTAATCCAGGCAATCTTGAACTTCAACCAGGCAAATGCCATTAGGTTTTAAGACCTGGGAATAATCTATGTCTCAAAGCTTTGCTTCTGGCCTTTCAGCTCTGCCTTTGGGGTCATCATTCCTTTTTCATGAAGGGTAGCATGTATTTTCATATCAGTAGTTTCACAGTTAGTTTCCTGAAGATAGGATTTTGGGGAGTCCAACAGTCTTCTTTCATGTCAGCCTCTCTCAGTCCAAGCTGCCAGTTTTTCCACTGATACAACATTCTCAAGAACCTTGTAGGTCTCCTGTGTATGTCATGAGGATTCACTGCATTAGAAAACAACTCCTCCACAGGTCTTTCCTGGACAATTCCAACACTATTTCTAGCTTCTGCTAAGATTACTGAAGGAGATCCATAAATCACACATCTAATATCATCAAAGAGCCTTCTATATGACTAATATTATGATCTTTTTATCTTCTGAGGCACTAGCCAAAGGATATCAAGTCACATACTTGGCCTTCTCTCAAGAGCATGCTTTTCTGACATGAATCTCCTAAATTTTCACCTCTTTTGCAATCTGAATAGGCTGAGAATTTCCCAAATCATCAAGTACTGGTTCATTTTTACTTAACAGTTTTTCTCTCAACCTCTCTTTCCTCTCATGTTTTACTATAATCAGTAAGAAGAAACCAGGCCACAGCATCAACATTTTGCCTGGAAATCTCTTCAGCTAAATATCCAAGTTTATTGTTTATAAATTCTGCTTTCCACATAATTGCAGGACACAATTCAGCTAAGCTTTCTGCTGTTGTACAGTAATGTGCCACTCAACAAAGGGATACTTTTTGAGAAATGTGTCATTAAACGATTTCATCCTTGTGCAAACATCATGGAGTATACTTACACAAACCTAGATGGTATATCATGCTACTGTAAATGTATGTGCTATACTTTTCTATGACTAGCAGCACAGTAGGTTTGTTTACACCAGCATCACCACAGATACATGAGTAATGCCTTGCACTGCGGCTTTACAGCATTGCTAGGCGTAGGAATTTTTCAGCTCCATTATAATCTTATGGGACCAACATCACATATGCAGTACATTGTTGACTGAAAGGTCGTTATGTGGTACATAACTGTATAACAAGGAGCCTTTTTCTTCAGTTTCTAATAACATGTTATTCATTTCCTGAACCCTCACCAGCAATGCTTTTAACGTACATATTTCTTTTTCTAAAATTTATCCTTATTGTTTAAAGTATTACAGATGTTCCCCTTTTTACCCCCATAGATCCTCTCCACCCCACTCCTGCTCCCCATGCCTTCACCACATTATTGTCTGTGTCCATTGGTTATGCATACATGCATATAAGTTCTTTGGTTTATCTCTTCTGGCTCCCCCACCCCCCTTCCCTCTGAGATTCGTCAGTCTGTTCTCTACTTCCATGTCTCTGGTTCTATTTTGTTTATCAGCTTGTTTTGTTCATTTTATACCACAAATAAGTGAGATCATGTGATACTTGTCTTTTGCTAACTGGCTTATATTGCTTAGCATGATACTCTCCAGGTCCCTCCATGTCGCCTCAAATTGTAAGAGATCTTTTTTTTTATTACAGCTGCATAGTATCCCATTGTATAAATGTACCACAGCTTTTTTATCCATTCATCTACTGATGGACACTTGGACTGTTTCCAGATCTTAGTTATTGTAAATAGTGCTTGCTGCTAGATCACCAACTTACACCACACACAAGAATAATCTCAAAATGATAAAATACTTAAATGTAAGTCAGTGAACCATAAAAATCCTAGAAGAAAATGTAGGCAGCAAAACTGCAGACATCACACAAAGCAGATTTTCACCAATACGTCGCCCAGAGCAAGAGAAACAAAGGAAAAAATTAAGAAATGGGACTACATAAACTAAAAGCTTCTACACAGCAAAAGAAACCAGCATCAAAATGAAAAGGGAACCAACCCACTATATGGGAGAACATATTTGCCAATGATACATCAGATAAGGGGTTAATTTCCAAAATATATACAGTTCTTATATGACTCAACAAAAGGAAGACAATCCAATTAAAAAATGAGCAGAGGAACAGATTAGACACTTCTCCAGGCAGGACATACAAATGGCCAAGAGACATGAAAATATGTTCAACGTCACTAATCATCAGAGAGATGCAAATTAAAAGGACTATGAGGTATCACCTCATACCTGCCAGAATGGCCGCCATCAACAAATCATCAAACAACAAGTGCTAGTGAGGGTGTGGAGAAAAGGGGACTCTAGTACACTGCTGGTGGGAATGCAGACTGGTGCAGCCACTATGGAAAACAATATGCTGTGCCCTCAAAAAATTAAAAATGGAACATCTATTTGACCCAGTGATCCCACTTTTAGGAATATATCCTAAGGAGCCTGGAACACCAACCAGGAGGAATATTTGTGTTCCTTTTGAAGGCTCTAGAGGAGAATGCCTTTCCTTGCCTTTCACAGCTTTTAGAGGCAGCCCACATTCCTTGACAGCATCACTCTGACCTCTGCTTCCATCCTCTTATCTCCTCCCCTCACTCTGACCTTCCTGCCTCCCTCTTTTGAGGACCCTTGTGATTACAAAAAGTCCGCCAGATAATCCAGGATGATCCCCCCACCTCAACATCCTTAATTTAATCACATTTACAAAGTTTCTTTTCAAGAAACTTTCACAGGTTCTTGAGGTTACATCCTTGAACTCTTGGGGATGGGGGCCATTATTCAGCCTACCACAATTAGAAAGCTTTATCTGATTGACCAAGTCTTTAAACGTGTGTGTGTGTGTGCATGTGTCCTTTAGTTCCAGGATGTAATGAAAATGAAGCAAAACTCACCTTTCAATTTAATTAACATGGGGTTCCCAGGTTACCTCATTGTCTCCAGATTTATTCATTGTGTGACACTGCTTTCCTCTACTCTCAGAGCTTTCATTCAGGTGAGATCATGATAAAACATCAAAGGCTGCCCTAAGGAGAAAAGATGCAATGGCATTTGTCTGCAGAGGGCATCATGCAGTGAGGGATGTGTGTTCAAGTGGGAAGGAGGTAATATCGCCTTGACATTTTGAATGTATATGTACATACATGGGCTTCTCTGATTATATTGGGCACAAAATAGTGCCCCCCCCCCAGTTTGTTATGAAATAGAAACAGTTCTAATTATATACAGCAGGTCCTCCTAACTTCTACATTCAAGTCATTTTATTATAAAGTTGATGAGATGCCATAGGAACGTAATTCCTGTTCATATCAATTAGCCTATGGTAAAATTGGTTTTGTTTTACGTCTTTTCACCTGAAGTTACAGAACACATTAAGGACATTGACTGAGGACTTACTTTAGTAATTTACATAGTACTGTAAAACAGTTCAGGATAAAATAGGTAGTAATGGTCCAGAGATAATTAGGGGTCTCTCAAATTTAGAATAAGAGAGGTTATTGTCATTTTGCCACATTTTACATTGACAACCTCTGAGTTCTGTCTCTCATACGATAACTGCCATACCAATGATTTTTTTTTTTTAATCCTCACCCTAGGATATGTTTTTTATTGATTTTAGAGAGGGAGAGAGAAAAAGAAAGAGAAACATTGATGTAAGAAAGAAACATCGATTAGTTGCCTCTCATACATGCCCCAACTGGGGATCTAACCTACAATCCAGGTATGTGCCCTGACAGGGAATCAAACCCTCAACCTTTCAGTGCGCGGGCTGACAATCCAACCAACTGAGCCACACTGTCCAGTGCCCATACTGATTATTTTAAGCTATTGTTTGGTAGCACTGCCTGCCAAGGGATCAAAGAAAAAAAAAATCTGGTTTCCTAATCAAATGATAAAAGAACCGAACTTAAGCTCATCCCATATACCAGACAGTAAATGTTTTGGTTTTTTTAATTACCAGGTTTGTATCTCTGGGAGCATATTTTTGAAGGCTTACTTGATCCCACTGATGTGACCGCTCAATGGAGAGAAGGAAATTCAGTTGTAGGAAGAACATATTACAGGTATTAATTGTACAACATTAACCTTTGCTGTGTTGCCATACAATGTTTTATGTAAATACTAGAAGAAAAATAAGAGGAAACTATTTTCATAGAAAGTATTTTCACTTTAACTTATGAAGAACAGAGAAATAAATCTCATGAATATATATTCATGGTTAAGGCTTACCTTGAACATTTTCTTATGAAATTAAGTACAAAATTCTCTTTTTAGAATCGTGTGTTTTGTTTTCATAAAAATATTTCTGATTACATGAATAAATTCATGTTCCAAATTTTATAACATTTAATTATTAATGAGCATTTAGCAGTTCATATCTTGGAGGAATAATATGTAAACTTAAAATTATTTTCAGTTTTTCTCTTTTGTACAATACTTATGTTCATAGATTTTTATAATAATAGGTGGTATCAAAGCTGTTGCTATGAATTTTGAAAAAATTTTATTTATGAGAACATATTTCATATATGAGTTCTATACTGATTTAATGGTGTAGGTTACCATTTTACTGCAATACTAGAAATCTGTTTTTTATATTCAATACAACCAATTGTTAAGACTTTTTTGAGCTTTTATTTTTATAAAACTTTTAATTATGACTGCATATTTTCCAAAGATTTTTAATAGGTAGACTTAAGATTTTATGTAGAAAAATTATGATAATTTTACCATATGAAAGAATGCTATTTTATTAGATTTTGCTTTTTTATTGAAATAAAAAATAAAAATAATTGTTTTAAAATGCTTATTTTATGTAAAAATTGTATTGCTAGGGGAAAAGTGTGAACCAAAGATGCTGTTTTCCATTAGAATTCCATTTCTTAGAGAAATCAAAAGGAAAAATTATAGTTAATCTCAATTCTATTTGAATTTTCACTGCATCTTTACTTTTTATTTACTTTATATACACTTGGAAAATAGTTTTATTGCATGAATCTTTTCAAAGTATTATTCTTGAAAAATAAACAGGTTTTTCATATTATTGGTAATGATTCTTCAGGCTTCCATTGATCTAATCTCATTCAAGAGTTTATACACAGTCCTTAACTTACAACAGTTGGATTTGGGTGTTTGAAAGCAAATGAGTACTATGCATGTAAAACTAACATTTGGTATTTAAAAAGTAAACATTTTATGAGTATTAGTCTAATAGTTATACCCATAATATCCAGAATTTTCTTAGAAATTCTTAAATATTCATGGAGAAATTACTATGTAACTGTTTTATAATAATAGCAAACAATTTAAGCAAACAGCGTTAATTCCCAAAAGAAAATCTTCCCTTCTGAAATTTTTACCAGAGATTTTGTTATGGTCAAATAGCAATGCTATTTTCTCTTAGGATTTAAGACAACCGTGTATTCAAAGAAATTCACTATTGTGGCAGATTTGTAAAAACAACTTAATTCAAATTTTAGGCTCATGAAAAGTAGTATACCTAATTTATTAATCCAAAATTAATAAACATTTTTCTTTTTTTATTAAATTGATTGGCATGACATTGGTTAATAAGATTATATAGGTTTCAAGTGCACATTTCTATAATCATCATCTGTATATTGCATCGTGTGCCCACCATCCGGAGTCAGATCATCTTCTGTTGCCATATATTCAAGCCCCTTTGCCCTTTACTATTCCCCCAGCCCCTTCCCTCTGGTAACCACCATGAGTGTCTGTGAGTTTTTGTTTGTTTTTCTTATTTGTTCATGTATTGCTTTCAGTTTTTTATCCCATATATGAGTGAAATCATATGGTTCTTAAGTTTTTCTGTCTGACTTATTTCACTAAATTAATAAATTTTTATGGAATTGCAAGTTTTGAGTTGAATTGAGCTACATGGGTTATAACTTAAATGTTTCAACACATTCATCTTTATTTGATCAAAAGTGAATCAGAAGTAATGGGTCACCTTGAAGAAATAAGTGGAAAGAGTTTCTAAGTACTGTCAGGATACTTGTTAATAGGTGTAATATAGTTTGCTTAAATAAACCTTTAGTATACAAAGAACTTATATCATTTACTTTTAGCATCAAGCAATTCTGAGGCAGAAGTAGAAAGGATATCATTAGTGTTCCAGGGTTCATCAGGCTCATGAATGCTGATTCACATCAGCTCATAGGCCCAAAGAATGTAATCAGTAATACCAAGTAAATAACTCAGAATGAATCTAGAACTGTCAGTCCACACGCTTGTATTGACTTAACCAGCACATTCTTTCCATATAGGCAAGCTACAGTTGATACCCAATTATTTGAGGGTTATTTGTTTAAATATGGAATCAAAATATGGGATTTAATAATTTGTAGTACTTCCAGACTCTGCGTGTTTTGGAAGAGAGTAAGTGACTCATTGTCCACCAGTTAATCAGTGACAGAGTCTGTCCTCAGCACATGAAGACATGAGTACATATGGGGCACACTGAACTTCTGAGTCAGCCTCAAGAAGCCCCATCACCTCTGGGCAGTGTGGCAGTGTGATTGAATTATAAGAGCACAGACTTTGGAGCCAGAATATCTCAGTTCAGATTCCAGCTTTACCTCTTATTAGCTGCCTGACCTTGGGCAGGATTCTTATCCTCACTGTGCCTGGATTTTCTTAAGTTTAAAATAAGGCAAATAATAGTTTCTATTTCACAGGATTGTTTTGAAGATTAAATGCATTAAAAAATGTATGGTGCTTAGAACAGTCTCTGGAACATAGGAATCACTATAGAAGTCTTGTTATTAGTTCTAAAAATACTTAAATAGGTACTGCAACATCTTCCTACTTTTCGGTTCTCCTTTTTCTGTGTTTCCATTATTGTCTACTATCTCTCCATCATGTACCTCCCCACAAATACCTTATTGATATATTCTTTATATTAATATATTCGAGTAGGTTACGAGCTAGCCTGGGATCCATTCTCTCTCTTGAAGGAACTTTGCCTATCTCTACTCATATCCATCATATGTTGATTTATGGTTTAATTTCATTGAGCAACTTCATTTTTAATTTCTTAGGAGGAATCTTACTTCTGCTCTTCATGGCCTTTGCTCATCCACAGAAGACTCCCTTCAGAATCCTGTAATTTCCATGTGCAGGCATTATCATAAGATATATATAAACGTCTGTTCATTAGTAAAGACAAAAGCCAGATGCTAACTCACTATCAGTGTTCAATTGTGATGTTTTCAATAAGCATCTGTCAGTTATTACAAAGTTTAACTTGCCTGGCCAGTGTTGCTCAGTGGTTGAGCATCCACCCATGCACCAAGAGGTTGCTAGGTTGATTCCCGGTCAGGGCACATGCCCAGGTTGTGGGCCCGATCCCCAGTGGCAAGCATGCAGGAGGTGGCCAGTTGATGTTCTCTCTCATTGATGTTTCTATGTCTCTCTCCCTCTCCTTTTCTCTAAAATCAATAAAAGAAAAAAATGTTTTTTAAAAAGTTGAACTTATTTCCAAAGATCATGATAGAATAAAATATGTCTGATCCTATTTTTTAGAATTTTCAGATATTACTACTATAAGAAGGTAGTGAGCTCATTACTCATCACAGTGAGTGTAAGTTTTTATAGGTAATAGTTACTAACACTTAAGTCAAATACTGGGTTGTAGATCAGTACAGGTCTCAAAATTTTTATTACAAAATAAAGGCAATATAGTTAATTTTTCACGATACTCATTCTCCCACTGCAGCCAGGTTAGTGTGAGAGTAGGCATCTCCATCAACACTAAGTTAGGAAAGTGTGGCGTCATGGCAGTAAATGCTAACCACAACAGCAGGGTGGATTGAAGCAGCTGTTCGAATGTGAGGACCTTCATGAGTTTGGTACACCTCTTTTATAAAACTGAATTTTTTTTTTTTTAAGTTTTGCCTTTTATTTTATTTTATTAATTTATTTATTTTTGTTACAGATGTTTCTCCTTTTCCCCCACTGCTTCCCCCCTCTCCCTCCCTCCCTACCTTGTCCCCAGCTTTGTTGTCCATGTCCATTGTTCATGCATACATGCATATAAGTTCTGTGGTTTATCTTTCCCTCACCACCCCCTCTTCTGGGGATTGTCAGTCTGTACCCCACTTCCACGTCTCTGGGACTACCCCTAAAACTGAATTTTTAACATACCTCTCTACACACACACACACACACACACACACACACACACACACAACTATCTGAATCTTAAGGGACATTTTTTTAACCCCTAATGTTTCTTTACCTAGCTCTGTGCTTCCTAGACTGTGTACTGAGGCATCCTAGGGTACCACATAATATTTTTTTAAATTGATTTTAGAGAGGAAGCGAGAGAGAGAAACATAGATCAGCTGCCTCCTGCACACGCGCCCTGACCAGGGATTGAACCCGAAACCTGAGCATATGTGCCCTGAAAACCAACTGAGCCACAACAGCCAGAGCACCACTCTTTGTGGGAAACACAGTTATACTTCACATCTCTCAGACACCAAGCAAACTGCAAGCTCAAGGTAGCTTACAGTTTCCACATTAGATCACCCTACATTGATTTCAGTGATGTCATACCCTTGTGGAGCTGGGTTTTCCATGGTTGCTGTGATAAATTACAATTACTATGCAAGAATCAAAGTGGAACAGGCAATGACAGCAGCAGTGTTCACTCTGATTCCAAAGTTTAAGAAATGTAGTGCTCAACAGATGCATGCATCTTGTTATTAAGAATTTGTGCTTAGTTCATTTCTTTCAGTGTAGTTTTATTCTTTTTTTTTAATTGTTGAAAGTATTACAGATGTCCCCTTTTTTCCCCATTGAGCCCCTCCTCCCCACACCCCTGCCTCTTGCTTTCCCCAACCTGGTGTCTGTGTCCATTGGTTGTGCATGTATGCATATATGTTCTTTGGTTTATCTCTTCTCACCCCTCCACCCCTATCCCTCTGAGGTTTGTTGGTCTGTTCCCTTCTTCCATGACTCTGTATTTTTGTCAACAGCTTATTTTGTTCATGATGTTCCATAAATGAGATCATGTGGTACTTGTCTTTCTGTAACTGGC